GAAAAACCTCAGATCTTTACTTTCTTGACGGGCAAACAATTTCGAGTGATGCTGCTGTTGTGTCAAAGTCTTTTTCTGATCCAGATCAGTCCCGTCTTTGGCACCTTCGCCTCGGCCATATGAGCTTTCAAGGCATGTCAGAATTGAGTCGAAGAGGTTTACTTGGTCAACAAAAGATTGTTGATTTGGATTTCTATGAAGACTGTGTATATGGCAAGGCAAAACGAGTAAGGTTTGCAAGTGGTATCCATACAACGAAAGGACCACTTGATTATGTTCACTCGGATTTGTGGGGACCGGCTCGAGTTGCTTCAAAAGGTGGAGCTATTTATATGCTCACTATTATTGATGATTTCTCCAAGAAGGTGTGGTCTTTCTTCTTAAAAAATAAAGGAGACGTTTTCTCTACTTTCAGAAATTGGAAAGTTCAGGTTGAAAAGCAATCAGGTCTGGTGGTAAAGTATCTTCGTACGGATAATGGACTTGAGTTTTGCTCAGAAGAATTTAATGTCTATTGTCAAAAGGAAGGCATTACTCGACATCACACAGTAGTCCATTCACCTCAACAAAATGGTGTAGCTGAAAGAATGAATCGCACCATTATGGAGAAGGTCCGGTGTATGCTTTCTAATTCCAAATTGCCAAAGTCTTTTTGGGCGGAGGCTGCTTCGACTGCTTGCTATGTTATCAACCGATCACCGTCACGAGCAATCGAGAAGAAAACTCCGTTTGAATTATGGTCCGGTAAACCTGTAAATTATTCAGATTTAAAACCATTCGGATGTCCAGCGTATGCACGAGTTGACAATGGGAAGCTAGAACCAAGAGCAATCAAATGCGTTTTTCTTGGGTACAATCAAGGTGTAAAGGGTTACAAGTTATGGAGCTTTGATTTGAAGAAAATTATCATCTCAAGAGATGTTACTTTTGATGATTCTGCTATAATTCAACCAGTTGCTGACTCTTCTAAAAGAACAGATGCATCAGATGTATCATCCGAAGCAAATAAAGAGAATGCTCAAATGGAGGTGGAGCTTCCTACTTCACCTACCACTAATCAGAGTACAAATCAGCATCAAGATTCTTCTTCGTCGGATGAGCATGTTGTTGGTGAAGATTCAACACCTTCACAACCACAAGCTACTACTCCAAGCATTGCAAGAGATAGACCGAGAAGACAGATTATTCCTCCGAAGAGGTATGCTGAATCTGATTTGGTTGCCTATGCTTTTATTGTTGCTGATAATATTGAGTCTGCAACGGAGCCTGCAAATTATGACGAGGCTATCAAATCTGAAGACTCAAATGATTGGATGCTCGCTATGCAAAATGAGATGGAATCTTTGCAGCGAAACAGTACTTGGAATTTAGTTCCTATTCCGAAAGGGAAGAGACCAGTTAAATGCAAGTGGGTCTACAAGCTCAAGGAACCTGTCAATCCAAATGATAAACCAATATACAAAGCTCGGTTAGTAGCTAAAGGCTACAGTCAGATTCCTGGTATTGATTACACTGACATTTATTCCCCAGTTGTCAAACATACTTCCATTCGTGTGTTGTTGGGGTTGGTTGCTTCTAACGATTTTGAGTTAGAACAACTTGATGTCACTACAGCTTTCCTAAATGGTGAGCTTGAGGAAGAGATTTTATGCAACAACCTGAAGGTTTTGTAGTTCCTGGAAAGGAGAACTACGTATGCAAGTTGAACAAATCTCTTTATGGCCTCAAGCAGTCTCCTAGACAATGGTACAAGAGGTTCGATTCTTTCATGACCAGTCACAAATTCAGCAGGTGCACCTATAATAGCTGCGTTTATTTTAAGAAAGGTGACAATGGTTCAAAGATCTACTTACTCTTGTACGTGGATGACATGTTGATTGCAGCGAAAGATATGAAGGAGATTCAGAAGTTAAAAGACCAGTTGAAAGCTGAATTTGAAATGAAGGACTTAGGAGCTGCCAAAAAGATTTTAGGTATGGAAATTATTCGTGACAGGAAGTCTAGGATCTTGCATCTTTCTCAGAAAAGTTATATTGAGAAAGTCCTAAGACGCTTCAGTATGCACGAAGCAAAGTCTGTCAACACACCTTTTGCAGCTCATTTCAAGCTATCATCCGCTTTGAGTCCTACTAATGAGACTGATATGGCTTACATGGCACGTGTTCCATACTCTAGTGCTGTTGGATCTTTGATGTATGCTATGATCTGCACGCGCCCTGATTTGGCTTATGCTGTTAGCATGGTTAGTAGATACATGGCGAACCCGAGGAAAGAACACTGGAAAGCAGTACAGTGGATTTTTCGTTATTTACGCGGTACGTCTTCTATGTGTTTACGTTTTGGTAAATCTAACACTGGGGTGTTCGGATATGTTGATTCAGATTATGGCAAAGATTTGGATAAACGAAGATCAATTACAGGGTATGTGTTTACTCTAAATGGTTGTGTTGTTAGTTGGAAAGCCCAGTTACAGTCCACAGTTGCCCTGTCTTCTACCGAGGCAGAGTACATGGCGATTACAGAAGCAGTTAAGGAAGATATCTGGTTGAAGGGGTTATTTGGAGAACTCGATGATAGAATAAAGGTGACCACAGTTTTCTGTGACAACCAGAGTGCTATCTTCTTGAGTAAAGATCAAATGTTTCATGACCGAACAAAGCATATTGATATTCGTTATCATTTTGTGCGGGATATCATTGAAAAAGGTGATTGTGTTGTGGACAAGATTCATACAAATTATAATCCCGTTGATATGTTCACCAAAAGTCTTCGTATAGCCAAGTTCAAATTATGTTTGGACATGGTGGGTATTTCTGATCGCAGTTGAGCCTGAAGGCTCGTGGTGGAGGAAGTATTATTTATTTTTCGGAAACAATTTTTTCTCTATATAAAATTTGCAGGTTCTTATGGAAGTTTTAGAGTTTGATGAGCTATAGGTTTTGACTAATCGTAAAGCATGACTTGCTTAATTTTGATGTCAAGGTGGAGATTGTGGAAAAGTTGCCTCTAAAATTAGCAAGTGGCAAATAGTTCAGGGGGTTATTTCAGTAACTTATCATTTACTATTCATAGTTTGACTATGAATAGTAATATATATGTGAATGAAAGAATGGACGGTGAACTCTTTTGTTAGGCGCATTCAAAATTTGACTATGAATAGTATATGTGAAATTTGAATAATTTGAAGGCGCAGATATAATTAATAGGCGCCTACAATTGGACGCCTACAATTTGGACGGCATTTTATTTTGCAATTGGTATTCTCTTTGGCTATAAATAGCCTGAGCCAGAGAAGTTTCACAACAACCAAAAAAATCATCCAAGTATATATAAAAAAGCATTACATATATACTGATACACCACCGTGTATTTTAGCTCTCCTACTCTATTTTGTAATCTCTTTCATAATCCCTGTAAACACTTCAAATTATAGTGAATTGTTTCTCGGCTTTCTCCGCCCGTGGTTTTTTTCCCGATTTGGGTTTCCACGTAAATTCTTGTGTCTCTATTCTATTTATTTTATTCGTATTACGTTGTGATTATTACGCTTTGATAATTTTTGATCCCATTCCGCATTGAGCTAATATTATTTAAGTCAATTTGGATCCGTCGTATTTTACAACAAATAATAATAATAAGGGAAAATATATTAGAAAGGGCAAAAGAGTCTTTTCACCTTGGTCAGGGACGAAGAACGCAGCAAACTAAAATGGTAGGGATCGTCCGAGTGCAAAAAAAATTAGGGCCAAACACGTAATTTTCGTAAAACCACAGGGACGATTTCAGTAATTTGTTCAAAATAGAATTAGAAAACTTCACAAATAGAAGAGAGAATACATGCATTGGAATGGAGATGTGAGGTGGCCCCGATTCCTGCCACCTCGATTGTTGCCACGCAAAGAATTAGCCCCACGAGATGAGTGTTGGAACGTACCATCATTTGCCAAAACTTGTGGGGAGGAAGAATGATCAGTGTGAGGGGCCATGTGGTTCTTGGTTTGATCGTGCATGAGTTCTTGTTCCTCCACGGCTAGCATAGAACGGGCTTTCATGAAGGAAGGAAAGGTTCAGTATGGCGAATGGTGATGGCAATGTATGAGAACTTGGAGGACAAACCACTGAGAAGATGAGACACCAAATTTAGATCACTAACCGGGGCTCCAAGGTTCTCAAGTTGATCATCAATTTTCTTGATACGAGCACAGTAAGTGGAAACTGAGGAATCCCAGATGGCTATGTTGCGAAGTTCAGTCTCCAATTGATGTGCCTGGGATTCCTTGTTCTCACGAAAAAGAGTTTCCAGACTATTCCATAAACCATACGCAATCATCTTTTTCTTTAGCACCATTTGAAGAAGAGATGTAGATAAAGTACTGTAGATCCATGATTTCACGATGGAGTCATGGCGAGCCCAATCAGAAGAAGCTGCTGTTTTGTCCTTTAGAGGTTGCAGATGTTGATCGAGACCAGACCCAATACAATGGGTTTCAAATAATTCTTGCCAGAGGTCAAAATTCATTTGATCGAGATCCAAGACCAAAGGAACAACATGCTTAATTTTGATTGAAGGGGAAGGTTTTTCAGAAGGTGTGGGATCATCAATGCCCATCGGGAAAAGACAGAAAAAAAAAAGAGCGGGAAGGAGATGATGATGACGGCTAGCTAGGGTTTTTGGAGACCTAGTCTATTGATACCATGCAAGACAATTATTTTCCCATTCCATAAAGTATAAATACAATACAAGTATCAAAAGGGCCGATTACATGATGGGCTATACAATAGAAACTGGGCTACACTAGGTAAATACAACATGATAATATAAAATACATATAATATACATAGTCTAACAGGATTTGGTTCGGAAACTCAACCGGAATTTTTACGGTTAAATCGGTTAGGGAAATTATCGATTCAACCCTTTATGCTCCTGAACCATGTGCTTTTAAGTGGAATAGATGGCTGCCATTTAAAATTTAATTGTTTCATATGGAGACTCCCTCTTAAATAGAATTCTCGTTACTCGTAATCTTGCTCAAAGAGGTGTTGTTTTCCTTCCATTTTAGTCTATTTTGTAAGGTGATAGTGAATCTTCTTTTCCCGCTTGTAATATGTGACATCTTTGTACTTTGATAGCTTCTTGGTAGTTTGTTTTGTTTGTAATTGTATCTCCCGAGTCCCGCCATTCTATAAAAAACAAAAAAAAAAATGTAAAAGGCCTTTGTTTCTTTGGCAACACGACACATACGTACACACATTACGACAATTGGAAAACTCTGTGGCTTATTGTCCTCTCCTCTGCTGGTGATGGTTGCTAATTTGGGAGGGAATATAATATATCTTTCGGTATATAATTAGTGGGGTCTTTAAAGTATTATATTTAAATATTTTAAATTCATTATTTATGACAGTATGATGACACTAATTTAAAAACTCTATCAATAGTGACGAATTTTGCTTAACTAATTTAAAAACTATGTCTAAGTGTATAAGATTTGATATTCGTGTGGTGTGCGTTTATTGTAATTTGTAAGACAACCTGTAGTGAGGCCATATCTTTATCCGATTGAACTTAATAGAATGGTAGGGTTAAGTTAATTTGGAATGTGTACCCAATGATCCAAATGGTTAAAAGTTGGGAAGTGATTCTTCCACGACTTTTTTTTATCCCTCCACATATTTTTATAGTAAAACGATCCAAATGGTTAAAATAGAAATCTTCTATTGTCATAATGTGTGTACTTTAAAGATAAATTTTTTGAGTATGCATTTCTCTAGAAATCTTCTATTAGAGAGATGCATACTCAAAAAATAGATTAATGTTAAGAATCTCATGTTTGTTAACAGAATGAATCATTTTTAGAGATGCTTGTTAAGATAAATACAGAGAGTCACAGGGAACTAATATAATCAAACACATACATAGGGAATCATACACTCTGAAGAGATTATCAACTGTGAACATTATTGTTAGAACTAACTGAATAGATATTAGACATTTGCACAGGAAAAGAATTGGAGATCGCAGGCTTGGAGCAACGAAGAAGGAAGAAGGAACGACATCTTTTGGAAACATGGGATATTTTTCTCTCTTTAATTTCTTCAAATTTAAATAAGGGCATAATTGTCCTTTTACTATAAAAATCTGTGGACAATGTTAACAACATAAACGAAATGAACCATATTTTAGTAACAAACAGCCTTTTCTAAATAAGAAACAATTTTTCATCCAACAAATAAGTCAAATATTATGTAAGAGATAAGTGAGTTAGACGACTAAAGTAACCATTCATAGCGGATTAAATTTAGAGATAACAACAAAAGTGATAATCATGAATGACCAAGTTTTTATGTTTAGAAAAATGATATCATTGTTCGAAATGGTAATTTCTCACTGACTTTATGTCGTATTAAAAATATTTCTTCTGATAAAAAATACATTTCAGAAATATTTCTTCCGATAAAAAATACATTTCAGACTTATCAATCTGGACTTTGGATTTTGAACATCAAAATAAAAAATAATTAAATAAATAATTGTTCTGGAATTTTAATAGCAAGTCTAAACTCTAATAAACAATTCCAAAATTGTGAGAAATCTTCGTTAGTTTTTTAAATCTATCAAAAAGAAGTTATAAAAAAATAAAATTAAATAAAATAATAATAATAATAATAATAATAATAAAACAATGAAAAGATGACATTTGATTATTGAAAATTTGGATATTTCCAAATAAGTCTAGAGACATGAATAGAAAGACTTTAAAAAGTGTTTAGTGAAAATGAGGGGGAAAAAACATTATATAGTATTATGTCTTATCCCGGACTCAGAAATCATTTCGGTATTAATTTAAAAAAAAAATTATACTAAACAAAAGAGTGATATTTTTGTTAATACCCCTTAAACTTATAATGGATACAGGGGTTTGGGTGACATGATACTTATTTGTCCATTTCTTGAATAGATAATGTATAAATTTGATTATAAAAATATACTAATATAATAAATAACCTACTTTTGGAATATATATACTTTTTTTAAAAATGGAATGCATTAAGAAAAAATTTGGATAACCTTTAACTCGTTTGACATGTTTTTCTTTTACCTACAGTTTTCAATAATACCCATTTAATCCATTATAAATAAAATATAACATGTATCATTAAAGGGGTGCCATTATCCTGATACTTACAAAAAAGAAGTTTAAAAAAATTAAAGTCTACATCATACTCCACAATCCACATAAGAAGTTAAAAAAATTTATATCCCAAAAAATCACCATTCACCAACCCTTGTCATATTCTCTTGTCAAATTCTTACACTAACTTTGGTTGTATACAACTATACTAGTAGTGACATATCTAGATTTCTCAAACAGGTTATATACTATTATTATGATTTTTGAAAACGCAATATATCAAAAAGATTTTTGAAAACGCAATATATCAAAAAGATTATTAAGTTATGGCACATGTGAATAATACACTTTCTATTCCCACTGAACAACAACACATGGTCCACAAAAAGTTTTGAGAGCTTTTTCTGCAAGAATCTAAACAGAAACCCAATATTCCGCTATACCAAATACCAGAAACAAAAGCTAAAGTTATATATCAAAGTCACTTGTAACAGGTTTTCTTTTCTTCTTTTGTTTCTTTTAACCAAAGTAGCTTTCTCCACATGTATTTACAATCCACAATTCCACAAAGCATAAAGTTTGCACACAGAATTAATGCCATCAACTTTCTTTTGTGAAAACCAATTGTCATTGGATTCTATTTAGTTCGGTCTTTTTTTGTTTTTTCAAGCTTTAAAGATACTTCATATAGATAGTTCAGTAAAACTTATCCATATACTAACCTTTAAATAACCATTTTCGAATGCTTTATGTTGTATTTTATAAAGTAAAACTCATACCTTGTTCTTGTCTTCTTGATATCATGAAGCACGAACTGTTGACAAAATTCAGCTTTATATGGTGTAAAGTTCTTTAGCCTAGATTTGATACCATATCGTTCTTGAGTCAAATTCAAAAATTAGAGCACAAGAAATTAAGAAAAGTCAAAATTGGGATAATCTGGTTCTGAAATGAAATGAAATGAACTTAAAAGTACATAAACTGCAGAAATCTACATATCAAGAAAATTAAAACCAGTGTTTGTTTAGCAAAAATCCAGAAACTGTTTGGACAAGGCATTGGTTCCTTTTTCCTGATCAAACAGAAGAAGAAATTGTAGGCTTCATGGATGCTTCTTCTAAGTTCACTTACCAGAATACTTGAATCAAAATTATTTACAATATAGGTATGTCTGGATGTTTGGAACTTGAGTTTTGAATCTCGAAGCTCTTGAATCGAATTCTACAATCTGGACATACCATTTTGTTCCTCCAATATCCAAGTTCTACTTCTCCTCCTTGTCATTCTGCCGAAAACTGAACTTGAAAGACTACGACTTCTGTTCATTGATGATCCATTAGAGTCAGAAGAATTTGAAGACGATCTCAATCTTCCAAAAAACGAAAACATGTTGCGGAAAACGCTACCCATTCCACCCTGTCCTCTCGCCCTATACCTTCTTGATTCCCACATAATTCTCCTTGGTGAACCGGAATTGTCACTAAACCCACCGTCAGCTTCGGTGTACACAACCGGAAGCTCTCTCTCGCCACTGCCGGTTCTTCTGCTGCCGGTGAACCTGCCGACTGCAAATCCCCCACCAGGTAATCTCCATATCGTCAATCCAACTGCCGCTGATTCTTCCTCGATTGGCTCCGAACGTTCTATTGACTCCGTTGTATCTGTTGGCAGTTCATGGCGGCAGACGGGACAGGAGTTTCGCATAGAGAGCCATGGGAGGATGCAATCGGGGTGGTAAATGTGCTTACAAGGCATCTCACGAGCTGCGGCACCCAGAGCAAACGCTTCTATGCAAATTGCACAGTTCGATTCGGTGCTGACGTGTAAACTTGATACCTCGATCGTTGGCATCGATTCCACCGCAGCTTTTGACGCCGGTGGCTGTTCTGAACGACTTAATCCGTTTATATCGATCTGTGATAACTGTTCAAGCAATCGATCAAATCCTGACCCCATCAGAAACTCCGACATCATCGCCGGCAACGGTTGTAGGCCGGCACCTGCTCCATCGTCATAATACAACTCAAAACCTCTCTCTCCCCCTCCGGAATTCTCGTCCACACCGCTAGCCGAAACGTCAGCGACACTGCGAAGAACGATGACCGGATTGAAAGGAGACCAGTCGCCGTTGTTACGTCGACCACGACGCCGGAGCCTCAGATCTGACCGATCGCTGCTCCGTAGCATGTACATCGCAGCGGCTGGAAGACGTCGCCGCGGCGGCGCGTTGGGCTCCACAACTTCAATGAATCCTCCCTCGCAGTGAGGACACACAACCGTGTCCTCTTCCGCTACTCTGACAAAGCGTGTGCATCGATAACACCAATACGACGCCGTTGGCATGTTGTTTACAAATAAATTATACTAGGATCAGCTCCTTCACCCCTAGGTTTCAACTAGGTCAATAAGATCCGGCGAGTCGGTGAGAAAAATATAGTGGCCGGAAACAATATTCCGGTATCGGAAGCTTGCACACACAGACGATGGTGCGGTGTACTGATTTTATGAAAACGAGGTAAATTTGCTTTTTATATACACAGAATATGATTTAACGGCGTTCTCTATTCCATGGTAGGTACTCAATACTTCTAACTTTTTTTAAACTATATATCTATCAATAAAACTAAGTTTTTAATAAGTTTATACTTTATATCCTGTTATTATTTTTTAAATATTTTAGAATTTAGAGGATAAGCTATTTAATTTTTTTGGTCTACATCGACGGTTCATTGACGGCACTGTGGAATGCATGTTGACTTGATGATAGCTGGATGTTTTAGGAGGAGGGCCGTTTTAGGTTGGTCCCGAAATAGAAGAACGAGAGGGGATGGAATTAATTAATTATGTTCTTTATCTTTGTCCCTAATAAATATTTCAATCTTCTATTTCCAATTATCTTCTAAAGATTAGAGTAACTTAGCATAAAAATAAAAAAATAATAAAGTTTTCAGAAGACAGAAAATTTGATGCAAATTTACAAGAAGACACCAATATACTAATTGGTGTAATAAATACTCCGTAAAATTTTATTAAAATACACCAAATTTGATGCAAATTTTTATATATTACATTATAAAATATATGTTGTCTATTATATTATAGTTAAAATTTGTCAATAACTATCTGCACTTTTTTCTTAGTGATCATCAAAACTTGTTCATAAACAAAAACAAAAATATATTTTTAAAAATATCATTGTTACCAATAATAACGATTGTAGCTGCTTTTGCTACTTATATAACATATAAAGTCATTGAGTATACTCACCACATAACCACACCAAAAGTGTCGTTCGCCTCAGCGTCATATCATTACCACAATTGGAAGCCCGCAATGATTTGATGTTCAACAGAAAAAACTACTCTCATCTAAGCGGCGGATGATATATAGTTAACTTCGTTCCACCGGACAAAAAAAAGTTCTACTCTAAATTATGTATGTTGGCATTGTTGTTGCATTTTCCCCTTTGTTACTTGTTTGTTGTAATGCATGCTCCTTGTACTCTATTTTTGTTCGAACTTCTTGTTAGAGTCTCAATGAATCCACCATACAATAATTGTTTAAGACATCAAGTTATACACTTGTTCGGCTTTGAAGGAAGGTGGCGTTTAACTTTTCATTTCGATGGTTTCATGCCCGTAATCACTCCTCCTCACCTCGTTTCCCATAATAAAAAATTTTAATTAAAAAAAAGAACTTTTTTTTTTTGGAAAGGGAACTTCCCTAACGAGGGTTTCCGGGCCAGCTTTCGCGCACCGACTAATCCCCCGCTGCAAACATGAGGTTTTGCCTCATGCCCTGGAGTCACTGCAGGCAAACCTCCATGGCCACAAGGGCTGAGTGGTGTCAGGATTTGAACATGGGTCAATAGATTACCCACCATATCTTTCACATGCCTTACCAAGTCACCACAACCCAAGCGGTTAAAAAAAAAAGAACTTCATAATACTCTCCTGTCGTTTCTTGCTTAATCTTTGCCATGTTTTAGGTTTCTTGATTTTTATCGTTTCATGATTTTGCTTCTCAGCTTATATCTTTGACTATATTAAAAAAAAATCAAAATCGTTTTCTCTTAGACTCGAAATTCTTGTCTTCTTAATCATCAAGCTTGGAAATTATACATGGGTTAAATTCTCCAGCTTCATTGATGCAAATCAAACACTTCTTTTTCTGTCCGACAAGTGTTCGATAAAATGTCTAAATGAGTTTTTTTCAAGTGGTGCAGCCATTTTAGGACTCAAGAAGATGTAGAGTCTCTTCCTGGTGTTGTTTTTCATTGTGCACTCCAACCTTTTGTTGGAGTGTCACATTTTACTTTGGATTTCTGCTTCTCATTTCGAGTTTTCCCTTGAGGCGTTAATAAGATTTGTTTGTGTGATTATGGCGTCTTCTCATACATATGCGAGCGTACCTTGGTCGTGTCAAGAGTTTGCACCTCCCTACAGATAAGCGTAGAGTTGTGTTGTGTGAGACTATTTCTTTGGTGGTTTGGGTTTATACTCGACAGTAGAGGTGTCACCTCCCCCATTTTCACGGCCAGAAAAGACCAATTTTGTTTATGTTTTATAAAAATCAGAGTGTCTCTTTTAATAAAAATGTTGTGGAATTCGTTCCCAAAAAAAACATGGTAAATACGTTATCAAAGCATTTCCGAAGAAACGTATTTTTTTATTCATTTTAAAACATTTGGGATGTCATCGTCAATACAGAAACATAAGCATAAACAGAACTTACAATCATTTACACTAGTGATCTACATCTCTTTAATCTCTCAGTGTAATGTGACTTCATATCAACACATGTGATATAAATAAACTGAGTGGTCAGGTTGGGAAACCTGGTGAGTACATAGGGTTTTCAACCCACAATAATATAATTATTATATTTAATCATCAAACAATTAACCAAATTACTCATCATCATTATCTTCTTTACTCTTAAGGATTTACCCTGAGAATTAGCTATTCCTCGTTCATTCTTTCCTAAGGAATAGGCATGAAATCCATCGTTTCCAGGGTTTACTCAACAGGCACTAAATCCATATTTGCCATGGTTTGCTCATCATGCACTAAATCCATAGCTGTCAGGGTTATCTCGTTTATCGACAGTATCGTTTCCGAGAATCCACTCGCAATACATGTCAATGGGTTTTTATCTTGTTTATTGACAGTATCGTTTCTGAGAATCCACTCGCAATACATGTCAATGGGTTTTTAGAGTACAGCTGGTGAATACACAGTTCAAATAACACCTACATGTTGCGAGTCTGCTAGTGTTCCACTGGACTGTCTAGATTAGTCTGTAGTTGTCATCCATACTCTGCTAGATGACGGGGCCAACACTTGGGTAAAAGGCTTATCTCATGGTTCACCTCTCACCCTTATCTCATGGTTTATATCACCTCTCATCATTTTATTTTTTGTCACACAGCAACTATTTCATCTACTCATGTTTTACCCAACACATTTTATAGATATAAAATACATATACAGTTTAAATCATTTAAAACATGTATAAAAATCTTTCACCCAGCATAGACGGCAAGTATACAGACAATATGCACACATAGCATGTAATTTATATTAAATACATCATATCTATGTGTAAGATGAAAGTAACTATGCACTCACTTGTTAAGGTGGTGATTCCGAACTTGGACAGCACTTCGTTACTCTTAAAACAATTTCCTTCGACAAAACCTAGTATCATTACCACTAAGGTTTAGTCTAATATTTACTGAGACTAATTAATAGTCTAGCCATTATTATTATTATATAAGCGTTAAGCAACACTCTTATATAACTCGTAATAATAGCCCAAATAATTATTTTAAGGTCCTAATAATGTTACTATAATTAATTACAAGATATATTAAAAATAGCGTAGGCGTAGCTCACTTACAACGGGTTTTCTCGAAAACCGGGCTTCGCTTGGAGAAACGTTTCTGAACCGAAAGACCCTTTTTCTCGGGGCTCCGGGAGCCTCGGGGATTTCTTCGGGTGCTAGGGGGGTTTACCTAGGCTTAGGGGGGGTTAGGGGGTAGTGAGAGAAAGTAGAGAGAGAAAGTTGTGGTGGAATGAGTGAAGAAGCCGGCTGCCTTCGCAAGATATTTATAGGAGTTGATCTTCGGACTACGCTGGGTGTAGCCCTCTGTTATTGGTGGGATGTCAAGTCCACCAAGCAAATTACACCCTTTGTTTGCAAATAAAACGTAATATAATGGTAAAAGGGGTATCGATCCTCGGGGAAATGGTTGTATTCAATCACCAATGCAATCCAATAGAACTAGTGAAAATAAACTAACTAACTACAATTAAACTAAAAAAGGGGGGGGGTTATGATTGCTTGAAAACTAAAAGACTTGAATAACTAAAAACTTACAATTAAGCAAGATAGTGAGATGCTCAAATGTTGGGAACAATTGGTTAACCAAGGCAATTCAACACAATGAACATTTGTGTGCTTATCATTAGGATCCAACATGAAGCTTATCATTCATCCCAAATTGGTTATAGCAATCATGAAGCATGATATGCCAAGATTCCTCTTAGGTAGTATGGAGGTTGGGGAAGCCCACAACACACCTTCTTAATGAAGATCAAGGGTTTAATTGAAGCAATTGGACCCAAGAAGTTAATTAGCCTTAAGAAAGAAGGAATCCCCAATTCCTAGAGGATGTCAATTCTTACACATCCATAAAGGAGCTATGATTCATAGACTAGAGATGATTTTTACCATCATAAAGTCCTTGTTCTAAGTTAATTCAATGATTCAATGCAAAATCAAAAAAATAAACTAACAATAGCTCATTCAAGTACCAAGCTCATGATCAAAGCATTAAACAAGCATAAGAAATGATCTAGAACCATAAAACATAAGATAATTGATAATCTAGCATGAATCCTTCAAAAAACCCACAAACATTCAAAGGTTTTAACCAAAGTTAACCAATATAAAGAGTTTAGCCACTCATGGCAATAGAACAACAATCACAAAAGTCTAATTGCATAAAGAAACTACCAAAAATCTTGGAAAGATGAAGAGAAATGAGTCTTGAGCTTCAAAAATCGCCTCCTCCAGGTCTCCAACCGAAGTTATGGCTGCTAGATCTGATCCCCCAAGGTAATGGCAAGCCAAATGACCAAAACGCCCAAATTGGGCAGTTGCGCGGGTACCCGCGCGACGAAAATTCCACCCGCGCAAATGTTGCTGTAATACTATTGGTCCTTCATTCCACCACTCCACCCTTCCACTACCAAAGATTCCTTTGGTCCCCTCCATATCCATGAGATTCAAATCAGCCAATCATCTTTTAGCTTCAAATGTGGATGCTCCAAACCCAA